GGAAGAGATTGTTTTTATCAGGTCTTTCCTAGAAAATTAAGAGTCCATATTCATCACAGATATCATGGTAGGAGGGTTAAGATGATTTCTGAGCGACAAGGAGGATATCTGGGCTGGTTTGTTGAAGAGTGTCTGGTTTGAGCAAGGCCTAGAAGAACAAATGATTTTATGAGCTTTGGGGATGGAGAGACTGTGGTAGGAGCAGAAGGAACCTTACTCCTTACAGCTGGAGAAGATAGAACAAAATTCCAGAGAGCAGAGAGCATTTCTGTACATGAGGGCTGGCATGCCTGTGGGTGCTGGGTGGGGTAGGAGCAGCTATTGAAGAAGGTTGAAAAGGGTCAATGCAATGAGCTGTGAACATCATTCTGAGGAAGTTGTACTCTGACACTTTCTGTTTCTAAGAATCAATGACTGTTTCCCTTTGCTCACCTGCTCGGGATCTAGATCAACATCACACACATCACAAGAGCTCAGCAGACTTGCTTACTGATGCATTTCCCTAACTAAACTCAAAGAATGTTTCCATGTACTGATATCCTGCAGAGAGACTGAGCTCTCTGATACCCAGTAACGCTCACATTAGACATCATTCCCAGCCCCCGAAAGAATGTGGCTCTTTCGCTGTTTGTAGCACTTACTGCATGCCAGGCACTAAATACTTCATGAGATAATGACTCATTTGATCCTCAGGCAACACGTGAGATAGGTATAATTACTGTCTTCATTTTCAAAATAAAAAAACTGAGATACAGAGTCTTCCTAGAGTCCCTAGGAAAGTGACCAGACAGAGGTATCCAGACCAGGGACATGCAAAGACAAATTTATCTCCTGGTGTGAAGGCTGGATTCTGAGCCCTTTCCAGGGCCCTGATACCTAGATCAAGCCTGGTGCTTGCCCAGAAGAGGCCTCTGTGACCACACCCAAATCTTTACTGAGGTGGTTCCATGGCAGAGATGTGAGACTGGGCTGACTGTCTTCAGCAACAGAACTGCGTGCAGCGCTTGTCTCTAGAACACTCTGGAGTTCATACCGAAGAATTTATCCTCCCCAGACTCCTTGGCCAAATGTGATGTGCTGACCCCCAAACCTCCCTGCAGAAATGATCGGGCATTTGCATGGGGGGTATCAAGTGATTTGTCTGCACCAGCGATGGTGCCAGGCGAGAGCAAAGAAAGGTTCAGATAGTCGAAGGGAGAGCCCTGCACAGGGATGAGCCTGCACTAGAGAAAGGACGATTGTGGTCGAGCCTGCAGGAGGGGCGTCTGAGTAGCAGTGAGAATCCAGAGGGCTGCTTGGAGCCTGGCTGGGGCCACAGGAACTGCACACACCCACATTGGGGACTCAGCTGAGAACCTCCTAGAGATGCAGGCCCAGAGGGAAGCACTGTTGGCCTGGGCCACTGCCTTTTGCCTTGTCTCTCTTGCTAGTTTAAAAAACATGTAAGATGAAGGTTTTCTCCCAAAACAACATTTATGGGAAATCAGATTAGAAAAGCCAAGAATCATTAAGTAGTAACAACCAACATTTTTAATGAGCACCTACTATACCTCAACTATATACAGGTACTGTGAATGGTATCTTGATCCTTGGAACAGTTGCATGAGGCAGCTGTCTCCTTCATTTGTACAGATGAGGAAACCGAGGCTCAGGGTAAACAAATTGTCCAAGTCACACAGTAAGTGGCAGGACCAGGATTTCACAAAAAGCCTATCCTTTGATCCATTTGGTCAAATTTCTGGCAAGTTCTGGTTCTAAAAGAGCTGCTCTGAGCATGCCCTGTCACCATGCAGCTGTCAGCGATTTGCTGTGAAAGCTGGAAGGAGGATGGAGTGCCCTCCAGGACGAGCCCAGGCTCTCAGCTGGGCCAGGAACATCGTGTGACACATTCAGAAGTCAGCCTGAGCTTCTTGGCTCTGAGCTGACCCACGAATTTGTGTGCAACTCCACAGGCTTGTTGCTGGCAAGTCCAGGCCTCTTTTTAAACACCCAGGCTTAATGGTCTGCACAGCTGGCACCCAGAGGGTTAGATAGTCTTGGCCAGAACAAAGTGACTCCCCAGCAGCGAGGGCAGAGAGCACCAGGGCCAGGAACACAGGACACGGGTTCACTATCTGGATCTGCGGTCTCTCAGCCACATGACTTGGGCAAGTCCCCTGACCGGCACCTTGGCTAACCACTTGGGGATAAGACCTTCGACTTCCTCTGCTCCCCAGAGGCTTGAGTGAGCTCAATAGGTAAGTGCCGGCCTTGGTCCCTGCCCTTGCACCTTAGCAGTTGAAGGAGGGCCACAGATTTCTCCAGGAAGCCCACTAGGGGCTGATAGAGGACTCAGAAGGTGTGGTCTGGGGGAGAATTTCATACTTGGTTCCTTAGCAAGTACGTGTTAAGCACCAGCTCTGTGACAGCAAAAACAACAAAAACCACCAGCACAAAAACCGATGCGCCGTGGACTACAAACAGGTCAGGACACGTTCTTCAAGCCTGGAAGGAGAAAAAGCCCAGGGAGACAAGTGAAGTGGTCAAAGCAAAGTCAACAGGCAAGAGCCTTGGGAGAAGAGAGAGAGAGCTTCTCCCTCAATATTTCTTCCTCCCCCTGCTCCCTCCTCCCCCTACTCCTCTCCTGCTTGCACTTCTGCAACCGCTGATAGGACATATTCCTTCGTGTGGATGCAGTGCATTGTACCATAAAGCCCTTCTCCTCTCCGTCTCCTCGTGCACGCAGGATGCGCAGGCTATGCTCTGTTGTGACTGAGGGCCCAGGCTTTTGAGCAGGGCTCCCCGAGTTGAATCCCAAGTCCACAACTAGCTGCATGACCCTAAGTGCATTGCTGCAATTTACTGACCTGTGTAATTGGGCTGGTCAATAATCTTTACCTTAGAGGTTTATGGTGAAGAGTAAAGGAGAAGGCACAAGAACATTTTCCACCTCATTGCTTGGCCCAAAATGAGAACTCAACATGTATACATTGTTGTGGACATTACAGTTCATTCTGGAACCAGGTTGCCAGGATTGGAAGCCCTTGGCTCTGCCTGCTTATAAGCTGTGTGACTTCAGGTAAGTTGCTTAACCTATCTGTGCCAAGTTCACTCCTTAGGGTTTCATTCTCTGTATTGCTAGCATTCATTGAAGTAGCCTTCTGCATCTTATTCATTCTCAGAAATTCTACAGGCTTGTCATGAGAATTAAATGAAAATATATATATTCATATGATGCTACACTATGTATAGTTCTTAGACTATTGCCTGACATATAGAAAGCACTTTGCTATTATTAGTTTTAGTTCATCCAGATCATTTATTCCATAAATATGAATTTAATGCCTACAAAGTGCCAGTCAGTGAAGAACCAAACTATCCTCACCCTCTGGAAGCTTCCATCTGAGTCGGGAACAGAATAAAATAAGATGCTGGGAAAGAAGAAAAGGGGTATGAAGTATGCTGAAGGTGGAAATGGGGGTTTTATGCTTAAACAATATGCCTTTTGAGCAAGGAACTGAAGGGGGTGCAGGTGCAGGCGCAAGCCCTGAGGGGGTCTGCAGGTGCCCCCCTCTGAGGCGCTGTAAACAAAGCTGGTCTTGCCATCGGCCAGCCGGCTCAGGATGGGTGTCCGCCCAAGGTCACCTCGTATACGTTGAATCTTCTCCCAGCAGCCTTGCTTCCTCTGAATAGATTATTAATCCCTTTAAAGCATAGCATTGGGGGACTTTTTAGAACCTCAGTTTACACATGTGCATGCCTCCGAAGCTCAAAGGCTCTGAGATGAGCACAGGCCTGGTGCGCTTGAGGAACACGGTTTAGGCCGGCATGGCTGGGTCAGGGCGAGCCCTGGCGAGCAGTGGGGCACTTGGTCAGCAGGTAGGGAGGCAGTGTGTGCAGCTAGTAGGGCTCCAGGCTGTCCTAATGAGTCTGGCTTTTAAATTATCATACACAGTAGATAGTATAGGAGTCAGTATCCACATCACAGACAGCCAAGGACCGACAGAATTTACTGACCTGCCCCAGGCAATTCACAGCAGGAGAAGCCCTGAAACCAGCAGGGCTCCTGGCTTGGTGCTCTTTATGCTGCAACAAGCAGACTCTCCCCTCCCACCCGCTGGGGCTGCAGCAATGGGTGGGGCTGGGCCCTGACCTAACTCCATGCTCACAGCAGCACTTTGAGACTAGTGTTCTGGTCTCCATTTTACTGAAGACGACACTGAGACTTCGAACATTAAGTTGTTCAAAATCACACAGGATTGGAACCAGATCTGTCTGATGTCAGAGGTCCGGCTCTGTCCCCCAAAGCATGCCTTGTGAAATCTCTTGGGTGGAAATAAAGAAAAGATGCTTCAGCAGCCAGTTACATTACAGATATTGACCCAGGATGGTGCATACAAAGTGTAGTTTCAGCACCGGGCACATGGCAGAGGCTCTACAAGTGCCAGCTGTTAATGTTGCTGACTATCTGAGGATGTCCGTCTGCAAACTGGTTTCCATTTTGGCCTCTCTTCCCTGGGCACTGGGCCTGAAACCTCCACCCAGGACACGCAGGCCTTGGGCTGCATTCATTCAGTTCTGTCACCATGACAACCATCCCTCTGTCAGAAACTCTCTCTAGCCTGACATACACACCCACAGAGGATGAGTGTAGGGTCTCAGAAAATGTATGTAGGTTGGGAGCAGTAAGAAAGGCAGAGACAAAGACAGAGAAAAGACAGAGTCTCAGAGGAGAGGGGAACAGAAATGGAGTGATGTCGAGGAGTCGGTGGTCAGGAGCCCTGCATCCTTGATCATTACCTGGAGGTCAGGATGCTGTTTGGAGACATTTGAGCGCAAGTCTGGAAACTTCTCTGCACTAACTCACTTCGGGACTCTGAGTAAATTCTTTTCCCTCTCTAGGCCTCCATTTCCCCATCTGTCTGTGGTCTTTAGGGCCCCTTTCATTTCTAATAGTCGGGCCTCCTCAAATAAGAAGACACTTCCACTCATTGGTAAAGAACAGTGTTTATTTGGAAAAATCATTCAGTACAATATGCACTACAGCATTTCACTCAGCTCACATCAGAGACATGGGATAAACTCAACAATAAGTTAGCGGGGAAGCCGGCCCCTTTCTGCCAAGATGGCCCACAGGACCTTTCAACAGACATATTTCATTATAAACATAAGAGTAAATAATTTGATCACTTTCAGGTGGGATCAGACAGCCGGGGCCCAGCCAGTGGGATTTCCAGCTGCAGGGTGAGCTCAAACCTAGATTGTCCCTGACCACACCTGAGCCTAGCAGAGAGAATTCCAAAGCAGCTGAGCGGCTTCGGCCCAAAGACCCTCATTTGCATAAATATAGGGCCCTCCCCATGCCCCTCCCCTTCAAAATCAGGTGCATCTGAGGGAACCTCTCAGGGGCTGTTCTCCCTGCCTAATGAGGTTCCTTGTCGTCAGTCAGCTGAAGATCCTTGATGGTTCTTGTCAATCCAGGCTAGAAAGACGTCCAGCTCTCCCAGAGACTTAATGGCAGCGGATCGGACCTCCAGCTGAAACCAGGGAATTCATCGTAAGAACCTGCCTTGCAAGACTGTAATGGTTTTCCAATCAATTTCCCCATGTTCCCATTCCCACCAGGCTTTCTTTTGACTCGATTATATTTACAAAGCATACAGACCCAAAATTATTTTCCTAACAGGCAACCCAAATTGTTTTCCACAAATAAGCCATTGAATCATGTCAACAACTTCTAAACAAAATTTTTTTAATTCTTCATTCTTTGCCCTCTGTTTTTCTTTTTACTGTTTTTGACAGAAAAAAAAGAACATTTGCCTTAACTGGTGAGGTCTGCTTATTTTCCTTCCCACATAAGCTTGCTTTAGTACTTCTGCGGGCCCAGAAAGTCCCAATCCCAGTGGCACTATGCAGTGGGCGGGGGGGACATGTCCCCCATCTGACATATTAAAAGCACCAAAGCTCCTAAGTGTCCTGCCCAGCACCACACAGCCGGTTGGTACCAGAGCTGGAAGTAGAAACCAAGTCTCCTAGCTTATTTCATTTCTTCCTCAGCAAACTTGGAGAGCGTACGATCTAAAAGTATGTCCTCTGAAGACCATCTGACATATTAAAAGCACCAAAGCTCCTAAGTGTCCTGCCCAGCACCACACAGCCGGTTGGTACCAGAGCTGGAAGTAGAAACCAAGTCTCCTAGCTTATTTCATTTCTTCCTCAGCAAACTTGGAGAGCGTACGATCTAAAAGTATGTCCTCTGAAGCCACATGGCATGGGATCAAGTCCTACCTCCACCACTTGGTTGGGGTACGAAACACATACTAAATTAGTATGAACTTAGTTAACTTGCTTAACCAGTTGCCTAACTGACAAAATGCAGATAATAGCATATTGCATTGTTGTGAGGAATAAATGTGTTAATACCTGCAGAGTGCTTAGAACGAGGCCCAGCTCATAGTAAGAGCAATAGGAATCTTACTTAGCCACTATTACAATATTATCCCACGGAGCCTCTCCAAAGAAGCAAAGGTCTGAACAGACCCACTGCCTCCTTGCTATTCAAAGCACTGGCGTCATTGGAGAGTGTGGTCCAAATGCAGACTCTCGGGCCTCCTTCCAGACCTGCAGCGCCAGAATCTGCATGATAACAAACTCCCAAAATGATGCGTGTGAAAAGCACTGCTCCTGTCACCTCTGCAGGAGATGTGCCTTCCACAGCAACAGGAGGTACCCTGTTCATCGCAGCACCAAATGCAGGTGACCGTACTGGCCACAGTGACACCGGCAGGTAACATGTGTCAGGCCTAACAGCCTATAATTCCCAGGGATCTTTGCTCCCTCTCTTTCGCCCACCTTGAGCAGTGTGTGATTTCCCCAAGGAATTTAATACAGGTTAGGTCTGATATGTGAGGGTATGAGAAAATGGTGGCAGAATGATGGGGAACGGGGGCCCAGGAAATGAGCGAGTGAGAAGACCAACACTCTTTGCAGACACATAGATTGGAAAGACCTGCAAAAATTGCTGGTTGAGTAAATGAGTGAACAGGAGTGGAGAGGAGGCTGGAGGCAGGGCACTTCCCCGACTCAGGCTCCTACTTCCAGTGCCACCTCCACACACACACACACACACACACACACACACACACACACACACACACACACACACACACCGCTCTTACCTGATTGTAGTTGTCATGGATGATTCTGGTGGCATTGGTGACTTCCGGCCTGCAGCGACACAGCCTTTGCTCCTGCTGGGATAAAGTGGCAACAGCACCCATCAGAGGGCCGCCCCGCCCTGCCCACTCTTTCCATTCCTGCCCCACCCGTGAGCACTGACACTGCTTCTTCTCACAGTGAGATTCAGGTACAAGAACGAACGCAGGCTGGGGCCGCGTGGGGAGGAGGGTGTGTTTGTAGGGTCACCCTCTGCTAGACCAGGGCTTCTGCTTTTACTGGGTTTTCAGTTCCCAGACTGGAAGGGGCAGACAGCACCCCGCAAGGCAGGCACTCAATAAATACCTGTTGGGTTAATTAATTAAATCATTGGTTAAATGAATCAATGTAAGTGAGACAGGGATCATTCATGACCTCTCCTAACAATTCTAGAATCTGCGGCACAGAGGACATCACTGGCAGGGAGGGGGCCAGAAGCCAGGATCCTAGTCTAAGTTTTTATCAGTTTATTTGGATTTGGTTTTATTTCTGATGGTCGTTTTTAATAGGTCACAATGAACTTACAGGTGACCTTTAGGGACAGGCTATACCAGGGAACCCTCCAGAGGTTAATTGGTATGGAAATCCCAAAGGAACAAAATAAAGAAACTAGGGGTGCACTTCTCATGAACCAGGTACTCCTGGCATGCCTTTCTCACCAGCCAGCCCAGGGATCACTGAAGGGAACACTGCACATATGCAGTCACCGCAGGAGGAGAATCCCTGGGGACACCGGTTGTGATGAGGCATCAGTGGGGAGGAAGCCCTGTGGGTGGAGTGACCCTTGCAGGAGGCTCTGGGCAGTTTCCCCATGGACAGGCGGGGCAGGGAACTTCCTTTAACTCCAGGAACCATTTCAGAAGGCTGCCTGGGGCCTGCGTGCCCAGGGTTCTCCCTGGGGCGGACGGGGAACAGATGCTTGGAGGTGTGCTGGGCTCTCCGCAGGGCAGACAAGGGACAATGCTTGGAGGCTGATGTGATGGGTGACTCACACACTGTTGCAGAGTTTTCTGCATGTAGAGGAAAGAGTTGGCAATGCTGCTGATTTTTCTCAAGATTTGAGGGTTCAGCTCCTGATGGTCCTTGAACACCCTGTCCACGTAAAACGCCAGGAGGTTCTTTGTCACACAGCACACGTCCAACGGCTACAGACACAAAGTAGAGAAAGTCCCAGGGGCCCCCTTTTATAATCTTAGAGGGCAAAGCAGCCTATGTAGGGGCAGCTGGGAGCAAGATAACAAAAAGTCATTTTAAAAAATTCATATTGGCTTTGGTGTGTCCACTTCTCTTACCACCTCAAAGCTACTTATGATGAAGGCACTGAGAGGTTGGGTTCACCCCTCACCTTTTTAGATGGCCAGGAGATGCGGTAAAAAGGAATGGAGCCTAGTCACAGACTAGAATTCTCTCTACAGTGGACCTGACATGGCATCCCTGACTTCTACTTAAACTCTTCCAAGAATCAGTCATCTTGCTTTGGAAGGACCCGTGTCTAAGCAGCTTTCTTGAAAAGTACTTGCTTACATTATGAAGTTTGCCTCTCCGTAACATCTCCCATCCATCAACATGTGTTTATTCAACGGCAATCATTGCATGCCAGGCATGTGCTGGGCATGTATTCTTTCCATTGTAATAATATGTTTATCTTGGCCTCCGTGCTTGGCTTTCCTCCAGTCTGGCCTTTCTAAACTGAAGCGATCATTTGGATGGAGCTCAGATTTGCAAGAATTGCACAAACATCTGGGCAGTTCTGGTCTACAGCTGGCAGAGCGCAGATCTTTCTAAAGGAGGGCTCCTGAATTCCCAGAGCGCAGCTCAGAGCCGCTGGCCAGGTTGTTTCCTTCCAGCAGTTTGCACCCCGCCCTAGGACCCAGCAAATTACTCGAAGTTGAAATTTACAGCTCAGCCTGAGAAGGAAGTCTGCAGTCTGGGCAGTGCTTTTATGCTCATTAGCATTCAAACAGCAAAGCCTCCCTGGCCCCCCAGGCAGCTTTTACTAGATGGCGAACTCTCCTTGCAACACAAAGCCCTTCTCTTCCTGGGCTCCTGCCGGATCCTTTAACTAAAGGGGCAAAAAGTTGCACACCTTTGTTCAATGAAGGGATGAGGGAGGAAAGATGATAAAGACCTGCATCCTCACTGGCCCCTCTTCTTATGCCACATCAGTGGTTTCTATACCTTGAGAAGAGAAAGACTCTGAAGCCAGAGGCATGAGCTTGGAAGGTCTATTCCTGACTCAACCACTAACTAGTCATTCTCCCTCCCAAAGTACACAGTTGGCTCGTTTGAAAATGATGGTCTGGGAATAGATGGCCTTTCAGGTCCCTTCCAGCTATGATGTATTCCTGCAAGTCCCTTATACAGTTGGCTGGAATAGTCTTTGGTAGATGACTACATCTGTTGACCACAAACAAATCAGGCCCGATAATGCCTAGAAGAAGCCCAGGGAAAAAGAAACTCATCGCAGACATATCTCATACTCTGTCACATAAATACCTGGAAAAAAAACCAATGGATGTTTCTGGAATGCCTACAAGGACTGGAGGAGCTCACTTGTAAAGTCACTCCTCAGTGGCCCCTTCTGTGAACTGAATCATCACCTGGTAAGTCAGCTGTTTCATAAACACGCTTATTCTTGTCCCCTTTCATTTGGGCTGATCTCACTGGCCTTCCTGCCTCATCTGTTGTAAAGAACATCAACAGATTTTAAAAGATTTTGTGGCTATGCAGTGTTTAGCTCAGACAGTGACTACTGCCTCTATTTTAAGGCCGAGGCTTAGCCTGGCTCTTAAGCTTGTTGGTGACAAAACTTCAGGGTGTTTTCCACCTTATCCTCGGCTGCTCACCTTCACGTCATTCACACCACATGCCTGGCTGCCGTACTGTCCCTGACACATGCCCATTGATCTTGCACACCTTCTCCCATGCTCCCAAACCCTCCCTCTGATCCACTAACACACAGCCTGCTCGGTTTTTAAGGGACTGCTCAGATCACCTTCCAGAATCATCCTGAGCCACAGACGTCCTGTCCCACTTGAACGCGCGGCACCTCCACTCACTGTCTAGGGAAGTGGCACTTCGATAATGCCTCCCAGGAGTTCTCAAGTCCCTGAGACACAATTTGCCCTAACACAGCAGTTGACACACGAGAGAGAAGTCATGAGCATTTATATTACTGGTTGAAAAAGGGAAGAAGACAGGGTGATTTTTCTCAGCCCAGGGCCACTTCACCATAAAAATAACAATACAGGAAAGAGCAGACACAGTCCAATACCTTAATGCCATGCAGGGTCTCCGATGTGGACAATATGGTGACATTTTGGAAGGTGTCCTTAGCTTGCTATGGAAGGAAACACAAACATAGACACGAGCAATGAGTACCCAGGTCCTCCTGACACAAAAGCTCATGAAATGAGAAGGAACTTGCTCTTCAAGCTAAGATGTAAGGCGAGGCACACCTTGCTCACACCTTGCTCACACCTTCACCCCGAACCCACACTCACCATGTCTTTTTTGATTTCTCTGAAACTCTCTTCTATAAGGCGCATGTCCACGGAAATCAGACATCTCCCGAGACTTCGGGCGTGCACCGAGCACAGGATAAGCGCTGCACTCAGACAGAGGGAAGCACACCGGGCCTTCATGTCCTGCAGGAAGGAGTGGGAGTCAGCGACCCAGTCAAGCGTGGGAAACAACGAAAGACCCCGGATTGAGTTCCCCTATGGACCCCGCGGCACGAGCCAGATGGCGGCCCAGAAAATAAGGCTCAGTACGCAGCCTTGTGGAGTTCAGGGGCACATGTTTCTCCTCTGTCTTTCCTGGACCAGCTGAATGAGCCCTCCCCCTCCCCCCATGCCTCCACTTTCACCCCCTGAAAGCACAATGCAGACCTCTCTCAAGTCCCAGGGAGTAAGTATATTTGTGTGTTTATTACTCTAAGATGACTCAATACAGCTCACTTCGTCAACAGGGGTGAAAAGCATTGTTTTTAATAAATTAAATAGGAAAAACAGGGTTGGTAATATGCCCTAGGAATTAGGCAAGAGGTCTGAAAGATCATAAAAGCACATTTGGTTTGTCATGTTTGCCCCTGAAATAGTGGGACACCCTTTAATAATACCCCCAATGTGTATCTGCTTGAAATCATTTGTTCTAAGCCAACTATGAACATGGGAGAAGATGGGAAAGACAAGACATCTAAAAGCTACTTGGCCGCAGTGGAGAGGGGAGGGCTGCCCTGCAGAGGGTGAGCTGGCGGCTTCCCCTCAGGGCCCGCTGAGCCGAGGGGATGTTTGCAGCTAGTCCCTGGACAGGGCCAGGCTGGGAGATCCTTGCTGACTGTTCTGATTCTCCAGCCTCCGTGCCTGTCCTTCTCTCTGCCTCTTTCATTTCAGCCCCTGACAGGGCACCATAATGCACACACTGAGAAAGGCGCACGAAATGTAATTGTCAGCTTGTCGAGCTCTTCCCCTGACTTTCCCCAGCACGAGCACAGGCTTCTCCGAGCTTAGCCTTACAGGTAAGTCTCAGGACCACGCCTGTGAATAGACCAGCCCTCTGTCCCGCATCCTCTGTGGCGCCCACCACGCCCACTAGCTTCTGGCGCTGCGTGTGCCGAGGTGAGTGGAGTGTGTGTGGCAGTGGAAGAAAAAGAGGAACCAAGCGCAGGAAGCCAGCAGAGGGGCTGTGGAGCGCCAACTTCTAACCATAGCTACAAGGCACCTACTGTCCCTGCTCCCACCACCACTCCCAGATCTTCCTCGGGAGTCCCAGGCTCTTCTATGGAGAGCCAAGAAACAGCAAATCCTGCTTAGAGAACCATTTTGTCTCATCTCTCCTTAATTCAGCATCATTCTTAGTGAGCAGACAGGTATACGTTGAAACCTCACCGTGAAGCAGGCATTATGCTAAAAAGCTTGATGGCTCATTTTCCAACCTCGGTCTTTCTGGCAACACAAGAAAGCAGGCCCCATTGGCAGGGAAGACTGTAGAGTCCCCCAGACCTCTATCTCCTTTAAAGGCAACTGGGATGCTTCTAGAAAGCCAAGTGACTAAGAAGAGAACAGTTTTTCTTCTGACAAGATGACTCTCAGAAGCAGAAGGGTGTTGTCTGCTCACCCCATGCCAAAAGCCCCAGACACGCTGTGGAGGAGAAAGATGCCTCCCTTAGCTGGTGAGGCGGGTCCAGGCTTCTTGGACCATTCAGATAACAGTAGTTGCTAACATTTATCAAATGCACCACATGCATTAAGCCCTGTGCCAAGCATTTTCCATAATTATCTCATTTAATGCCCACCACCACCCTGTGAGGTAGGTTCTCTTTCTGTCCCCACTTTATCAAAGAAAAACCTGAGATTTAGAGAACTGAAGTAACCTGGCTACGGTCTGTGGCCAGCAAGCGGCCGAGCCAGGACTAGAAGGCAGGCGGGCTGGCCCTTCAGCCAGCTCTCCTTACTGCCCTCCACCCATCCTGCTCACAGCACCGGAGATCCCAGCAGATCCCCTTACGCCAGACAGACAGGAACACATTTCTGATCAGGTCCCACTGAGCCACTGGTACTCCTTACATTTAAAAAATATATTTAATACTGCAAAGGATCCAAAAGGTATAAAGCACCAGCATCATTCCTAGGACAAAAAGGTTATAGTAAACATCAGATGCCTTCCATCCGTCCTTCCTTCTTTCTTCCCCACTCTCCATCTCTTCTTGTGGAGAATAAGGTACTGGAAAGTTCATCCTCTGCATGGAAAACTCCTCTGCATTCTACAAAACACCTAGGGCCTAAAACATCTTGTGCCGTGCATGAGGAAGGCTAGGATGGTGATGAACAAAGGCCTCGGATGAAGGCTGACAGGAGGCTCACCTGTTCCTGGGTGCTCTCGGACTGCTCCTGCGACTTCTCTCTAGGTGCTCTTTGCCTCTTGGGAAGGGCTGGTCACTTTTATGCAGGTGGATAAGAGGAAATGCTGTCAAGCTGTACTGGGTGGGTCCGCCTGGGGGAGCTTGTTTTTCCCCCTCATTTCCTTAGCATCTTATTTCCTTTATTGTTTTCTTTCTTCTTTGAGATAGAGCTGATTAATCACTATTAAGAAATGCCTTTTTCTTCTGGGTCTTGACATGCAGTTTCTAGGAAAAATAAACTCCCCATATCCATGCAAATGAGAATTTCTGGCAATTCTGTGTCCACAGAGAAAAATCCAAGTTAGGTCACTTTCCTAAGAGCTGTGGCATGCCATCAGCGGTACCCCGCAGGCGAACTCAGGAAGCATTCTCCCGACAGCCACACCCTGCAGAGCCAGCCTCAGGACACGTTGCAGGTGCGGCTGGCTCCTGCCCGCTCCATCTGCCCAATGCCTTGTACAGCTATTGAGCACCTACTGTGTGCCAGGTACTAAATTCTCACCATGCATTATTTTGTTTAATTCGTAATCATTTGTTTTTTCCCTCAGGAATGCAAGGATTTCTTTGGACATCACCTCTTTCCTCTTCATCCCGTCCCTTGTAAATAAAGCCCTTTCATTCCTGATTAATGCGGAAAGAGAAAGTAAGGCTGGGAAGTGGAGGGCCTTAGAAGCCATGGCAGAGCCAGGAATAGAGCCTGGAATCCTTGCTTGAGGGCCAGAAGACTATCTATCTACATTACTTTTTTACACAAACTCTGTATCATGAATTCCCCAGGATTCAGGGTTCGGTGATGGTGAATGAAAGATGGGGTCTAAAACAGGCTTCCTTCCCAAACATGTACTCCCCCAATAAACAGAGCTGGTTTTTATCAAATGAGGCAACTCTGGGATGGGGTGCAATTGAAGGAGACCCCATGGGCCCCTTGGACAAAGGGTTAGTATGACAAGCTGGAGCAGACCCTGCCCTTCAGCCAGACTGGAGGCAGAATGGTTGGTCAGGCACTGGTGGAGAAGACAGAGGGACAGGGAGGACTGGGGCTTTTTATGGGGGTAGGTGCAAGGGAAAGGGGGCCTCGGGGCTAAAGACTTGCTGTCCAGCATTCTTGCACATGATGAAATAATGCATGTTAAGAGAAGTGGTAGATTGCAGTGGCCGCAAGGCAGCTCTCCATTTAAACCCTGGCTCTCCGTCTTCTCTGTGAGCCACTGGACAAGCTGCCTAAGACTTTTCTTAAGCTCCATAAAATAGGTAAAATAAACTGTAAGGATGTGAATGAGCTAGTGGACTTGATCTATGTTAAGTACTTAATAAACATTATTCATTCTGATGCTGTGTGTCCAGCACCTGGAAAAGGAGAACACACCTTTGTCAAGTGTTAATAGGTATCCCCCTGCTCCTTCTGGGGAGGGGAGAAAGAGCTACTCTGGAGTCCAGCGGTCTCCCCCACCCCACCCCAGCTTCCCCACAGAGGGGGTGGCCAGGAGAGGGGGGTGCTGCTTTCCCAGCATGGCCTGAGCTGCCACACGTGCGATGATTGCAAAACTGCCCGTGCTGACTCCCACCCTGCTTCATCTCCTTGTTCTCAGACTGTATGTTCTGACCCAGCTTTCAGTTCAGGGCAAAGATGTTTTATCAGGAAGCTTGCAGAGGAAGGAAAAATATGTGGTGTGTTTATAGCTCCTCTGCAGCACGCAGTGTATCACAGTGGCTGGGACTAGAGCTCTGGGGTCAGCCCAGCTAGGCTGCCTACCTCTGTCCCCTTTGGCTGACAGACTGCAGGCAAGCCAGTTCATCTCCGGACCTCTGTTTATTCATCTGCAAAATGGTGCTAATTGTCTACTGAATATTCACCACGTAGGTATGGCATGTAGATTAAATGGTGAAATGTAAGCCCTCAGTACAGTGCCTGGCATATAATAAGAGATTAAAAAATGATAACCTTTGTCATTAGTTTTACAATGCCCTTTGGATCCCCTAAATTGGGAGGAGGGACAGTAAGAAATGATTTCCCTCCATTCTGGGCCTGGCTGCCTAACACTTAATATAAACAAATAAGAAAACAGATTGAAATAGAATGGCATCCCTCCCAGGACTGCAATCAAGCTATGGATTTGATCCACAGATTGTAGGCTATGCCTAGTCTTAGAATTGAGGCTTCTAGAACCAGTTGAGTCACGATTGGGATATCAGAATTCAATTTTCCATTAGTTACACAGGGAAGCAAAAAGAATGTGAAGGAAGACTTGAGAGCCAGATTGGAGAAAGCTCTGTGCTGGCCATGGGTGGGACACAGCTGTCTCCCACCTCCCAATCCCCCTTCCCCACCCGCTACCCACTCCAGCTTCATGGACCGCTCAAGGTGAAGCTAGGGCAAGTTCCTCTCCACGGACGGGTGGTGCCTGCCCACTCCTAAGCACTAAATCCTGGGGCATTGCACAACTCCAGAGGGCACCGCACTCTTTGCCGCCTGTGGCAGCATGGCTGCATGGGGTTGAGCAGCGTGACCCTACCGGGTGATCTTGATAAAATGAATTAGGCCTATGTGAGTAATTTCAGTCAGATTCAAGGTAGAACCTATCACTGTGAGGACTACACGACACTAGAAAGTGTGCTAGAGAAAGGGTCAATAAAAGAAAGGAATATGGATGCTGGTGGACGGGTATTTCACTGGGGAATGAAAAGGGACTTAAAAACAGAAAGAATATAAATGTCTCAATGACTTGGGAAATATATCTGGATTGT